CCTTGAAGAGCAAAGTTTCCCTACAGGGTCAGCCAGACTACAGCAGCAGTATATACAACTCTATCACATTAGCTAAACATCTAGAACTAAAAACAAGCAATGTACGGAAAGGAAAGTAACTAAAGGATCTATAATTGAGAGGATAACTTAAAACGTACTGCCTACTACAAATGCCTTGACCTTAAACAGCCAGGGCTGTTTCAACTACTATGCATCTAAGAAAGTGCTGCTGGTGGAGTACACAATACCCTGTAAGGAAAAAGGGTTAGTTGGCTTGCAGAGCCAGCAGCAGCGTCTCTGTACCAGAACCGTGCCTGTCACCTTTGCCACCTTCCCCAAATTCCCAGAGAAAAAAATGCTACAGAGCTACAGTACTTTCAATTCACACCTTGTATGGGATTACGAATTATGTGTACATTTTATTACAGTTTTGAATTCAGGTCATGGATAACAATGCCTAGCTAACTGCAGCTGGACGTTTCTTCTCTTATCCTTTCCTGCCACAGCTGGCCTTGTGAGCAACTAGACAAGATGGGGAAGACCGGGTGCCCTGGGCTCCGGCTGGCCTATGTGGCCTTCTTTGCTTTCCTGCTATTGTAATGTGCTCTAGACCTATTTCATACCACCAGGAGGTGCAGCCACAGAGGGGCACTACACCCTGACTTCCCAGAAGTAGGCTTCAGACTAGCAAATGCCAGCGCTTGAAACCCCTCCTTACTGGTGAGTACTGCCACCACACAGAACCCAAGGCTGTTCTGGGGAACGGAAATAGTTGGAAAGAATACATTTATCTTTTTGAAGTAAGTCACATTTGCTGGTGGGTATACACTAGCAATCTAAGTTTTCCTGAGTCATGAGCTGTATGTATTGATTGCTTCAAACGTTTAAATATAACATTTATTGGCTATCTTTTTTGGTTATACTTTGCAGTACCCAGGATTTCCACATAGCAGGCAAGCACTTTACCACTGAGCTGTATCCTTCATTCTCATTTTTTTCCAAGACAGGGTCTCCCTTAACCCAGCTGGTCTCCAAAGGGCTAAATAGTAGAGTGTGACCCTGAACTCCTGATCTTGTTTCTACTGACCAAGTGCTGGGATTTTAGGTATGTGCCTTCATCCATAGCTTTTAAGAAAATTTACTTGCTGCCCGCAGCACTGGGAATGAATGAAGCCAAGTCCTTCACCATTGATAGCCTCAATATTTGATTACCATTAAATTAAAAAAAAAGATTGACTTCATTTTTAGCTGCGCGCGCGCACGTGTGTGTGTGTGTGTGTGTGTGTGTGTGTGTGTGTGTGTGTGTGTGTGTGTGTGTGTGTGTGTGTGTAGGGAGGGGGGCAATCATGAAGGCCAGAGGATTCAGATTATTTGGAACTGGACTTTCAGGTGATTGTGAGCTCCTTGATGTAGGTGCTGGGAATTATATTCTGGTCCTCCAGAAGGACAATGCATACTCTTAACAGATGAGTCATCTCTCCAGACCTCTTTGATTACCATTAAAAAATAATATAAAAATAATAAATACTCTTTGCAAACTATATTGTCTCGAGGACCAAGATTTTCCAAACTCTGCTTTGCTGATGTGAAACACTAGTTTTAGTTACTGTTTCCTTGATGGGAATTTATTTCATCAAGTACCCAATTAATCTGAAGTCGTGCCTAGCCCACGACCAGCTTTTTACAAACAAGGAATCTGAAGTTTGGAGTCATTCTGCCCTAAAGTACACACAGGGCTGATGGAGGCAGTGCCAGAACCTGCACTCCTTATTCCTACCATAGTCTGATACTCTAGCTCCAGAGCAGCCATGTTCATCACTTGACCTCTGCCAGTTACCTTATAACTTCATTCCTCTAATAAACCAATCAGCCAATCTACGATGGCTTTCAACCCCATCGTGTTTTTTTGTTGTTGTTGTTGTTGTTGTTTAAGCATACAGAATAGCAGTACTGTACAATGGTTCTGCACAATGCTTGTATTTTAAACTATTCTTCCTTCCAGTTAAAAACAAATACCAAACGCTGAGCATTTATCAGTAAAACTGTCTCCTGTTTTAGTCTCAGTGCGGCAGGTACACATAAGAACACATCCTTGAATAAGTGGGCTCAAGGCTGTAATCCACACTGGGCTGAAACAAGAAAGGAGGTACGTTTTGCTGTCCCTTCAAACTCCAAAGTACAACACATTTGGTTGGGAGTGGGACCCAGGTGGGTTTCTTACTAGTTTTCTTCAGCTATCCCCGGACTCAGAAGCAGAAGTACAGCAGTTTTGCAGAAACTTCTTTCAGCTTCTAAGCTAAGCTAGTATTCTACTTCTTATATGATACCCTGAAAACACCCATGGACCCAGAGAAGAAGTGATTTTTCTCTTTGGCAAACCGGAGTTTACAAATAGCGACATGGCCCCATGTAAATTTCTGAACACTTAATGGAAAAATGAACAATACAACCACTAAAGGAAACTCTTTTCAGACTTGCAGCTTCTCAGGGAGGTTTATCTCACGTCCAAGTCGGGAAACTTCTCTTTCAGAAGCATGCCGACATGAACATGTTTCATTATCAAGAATCATATGAAATGGAGGCCCTTGGCTCTTCATCGTCACAGCCTAACATGGGCATAATTATTGTCATTCTGAACCAGAGAAGACGGTAGTACAGCAAGGTTAAGAGCCCAGCTCTTTCTGTTCTGAAAGCGATACTCTTTAAGCACTTCACCGACTTCTTAGGTAGAGAAGCAAATATGCACCGTCAAACTCTGGTTCCATCTGATGCAGTGTCCAAGTCGTTGCAAAATACGTTGTTTTCTAGGGTCAAGAAGAGCTTCTTCACTTCCTGGTTTTAGGTTAGGAGGGTGGCTCAAACGAACTGTTTTCTTACCACACTTATTGCATAATCACATAAAAACCAAAAGGAAGAGGGCTGGTTAAATATTTAAACTCTTATTTCCTGGTGACCTAGGAGACCTACTACTATATTCGATATGCTCAATTTAAGGGTTAAGGGTTCCTCAGTATACTAAGGGCACTGGAGTTATTTCCGTCTGAATGGAGTTAAAAGCAGGTCTACAGGATATACAGACTTGGCCTTTTTTTTTTTTTTTCATTGAAATGATGTCTTAATGAAAACGAATGGAACAAGCGACCCACTCAAAACTAAGAGCAGTGGGAAAGTTCTTAGAGGGAAACAATTACGAACAAAGTTGTCTGGTCATCTGCTTTCACTTAGTGTGAAAAACCAGAAGGGCGAGTCTCCTCTTCGGCAACTCCAGCCTGCCCACAATGACCACTTGTTACACCTCCTACCCACTCCACTGCAGGTTCACTAGAAATTAAAAGGACTGTTAACACGCTAAAGGGCATAACTGGTCGGGTCTAAGGTGTCTTTGGGTTAAACCAGGAGGGGGACGGTAGACCGGTGCACCGGGTCCCCTATCCCCCCCCCCCAAGCCTGGTCTGGTGTCCAGGAGGCCAAACTTCAGGCTGGGTATGATCAAAAGCATCCGCCTGCCGGGCGAGGGGTAGGGGCGCGGTGAGGACGTCCCGGAGAGCAGGGATGCGAGCAGGGAAGGGGGTTTTTGCACCACGGAAGGCTCAGGGACCGAGGCCCAGGCCCGCAGCGGCCGCCGCCATCACCAGGCCGCGGAGCGGGGGGGCGTGCCGCGCGCCCACCGCGCGCCGGACCACCGTGCGCACGCTCCCCGCCCCCGCCACGGCCCCGGCCGCAACTGCCCCCCGATACTCACGCTTTGTCCACCAGCTCCCGTACTTTCCACATGTTCAGCATCGCGCCCCGCGCGGCCCGGCCCGCTGCCGCCCGCCGCCGCTCTCCACGGACCCCGGGACGCCTCCGCGCCGGAGCTGGTCCAGGCCCGGGTCGCCGCCGCCACCCACCGCCGCGAACTCTCCCTCGCCGGAGCTCCTTCTCCCGGCCACAGCCACGGCGCCGCCGGTGACACGTCGAGACGCGGCCGCACCGGCGCTGCGTGGGGCGGAAGTGGCCGGCTTTCCGCCCGCGCCGCGCGCCGCACGCCGGGAATTGTAGTCTTCGTCCAGCGCTCCTGAAGCGCGGGCGGGCTAAGATCGCTTTGGTTTGTTGGGGGGGAAAGCCGCTGACAGCCTCCAGATGATTGCCACCAGACTTACTCAAGCTCGCCTTCTTCAGATACACAGCGCTGATACTAAGCTTGGCTACACGGGTGTGATTGGCGTGCGTGGTCTTCCTTTACGCACCTGTCTGCATGTGCTTCCAAACATCCAGGTGTCTATATATCACTGAGCTGGGGGGAGCGAGGAGGATAGTGGAGGGGGGTTTCCAGCTCCGACCAGTGAAGAACTTCCTTCTAAATCCTTTCCCACTCTAGTTCTATGATACAATGATTTTATCTGTAGACAGTTACTTGGTACCCTCGTTGGATACATTGTTTTTTTGTTTTGTTGGTTTTGTTTTTGTTTTTTGTTTTTGTTTTGGTTTTGGTTTTGGTTTTGGTTTTTCGAGACAGGGTTTCTCTGTGGCTTTGGAGGCTGTCCTGGAACTCGCTCTGTAGACCAGGCTGGCCTCGAACTCACAGAGATCCGCCTGCCTCTGCCTCCTCTCGTTGGATACATTGTTACAAGCTTCTAATCGTTGGGAAACCAGAGCTTTAGACCCAGAACTTGGGAGCCAGAGGCAGAGGAACCTCAATGAGTTCGAGGACAGTCTGGTTTATATAGGAAGTTCTAGGTCAGCCAGAGTTAGACAGTAAGACCTTGGTTTAAAAATTAATTAAATATGTATGAAAACATAAAAGTATTTACATTTAGATAAAATTATAATTTTTATTTTTTAAAAACTCTGCCACTATTTACTGAACATCTTCAGGATGGCTCAAGTGAGGACTACAGCTGGGGCTCCAGTTCCCTGGAATCTTAACTGTCATTGGAGGAGAAGGGTAGCATTCAAAGAAACATTTAATTAGAGAGAATAAGTGTGTGTTAAAATAAAGAACAATGGTACAGACAATAGGAAAATAACATTAGAGTATATTTAGGGCTCTTTGAGGAGATTGGATGTAAGATAAAATTGGGACAATACAAAGGAACTGATTAAGAAGATCAAGAAAAGAATTATTGGGGGAGAGAACACACATTAAAAAAAAACTAAGATTCATAATTAGGGGGAAAACCGTGGCTATAAGTAGCAATGGTCCCAGGCTGTCTGATTCCAGATCCTTCAGTCAAGACTCCTGTTCAGTTTGCATTTTCGTGGTTATTGGAAGCTGCTCTGAAAGCACTCCTGAAAAAGAGAAAATTAAACTGAGAAGTTCAAAAAGCAGAAAACCAAGACACAGCTGGCTCATGTATTCCTTAAGATAGGGGACCTGGAGATCATTCTAAGTTGGGGCGATAGATTTGGGAAGGGACGTAAGGAGGTTAGGACAGAGGCAATCAGTTTAATTTTCCTGTTGAAACTATTGTACAGCTCAAGGTTCAAAGGATGGAATGTGGCCGGGGCAGACAGGAGAAACTGCTTTGCATAAATAAGAGCTCAGCAAGTTAACTTCCAAACAAGTCAGTCGGGAGGACACCTGCAGAATGGGCTTGGCACAGACAAGCAGCTTCACAGCAGTCCATAGCCTGGCTCACCATTTACCTGCAAAGTACAATGTGAGCATCTCATATTCCCAATCCAACACCAAGCTTGAGTGTATCTAGAATTAATCTGAGTTGTCACCTATGGCACGTTTAGAGTCCACCAGGGCCAAATAGAATGTAACAGTAAAACCCTTCTGTCCGCTTGTCACTCTGGAGAACCCCCAAAGGGGCTCAGAAAGAGTTTGTTTAAAAGGTGGTCTCAGGAGACCAATCATTTGCCTATCGGCAGAGTGTTCCATTTTTACCTTTTTATCTTGCAACTTGGAGAGTAGTTTCCATAGTAACTTCTTTATAGCAAGTTAAATATGTCCAAGGTAGAAAAATAAATGAGGAAACGCCTGGCCGATCCCTCCTCAGGAAAACATTTTTCACTAAATGAGCTGATGCTTTTAAAGTAAGGCTAAACCAACACGTGCTCAGAAAGACAACATACTCAGCTGTTTGTTACGTGTAATGAACAGGCATAGGCGAACGGACACCGGCTGCTCAGCTCAGGTGGTTGGCTCTCAAGTGGTTTCTTGGGAGAGCGCTATATGATAGCCATGGTACAGCACTTTTACCAAAGAACACAGTTGAAGTCTAGGGGTTTGCAGGTTCTTATTCAAATATTTGAAATAAGGGCTCCCGCTGGTTTTCAAAGTAGCAGGAAAGCTTTATTTAAAGGAAAGCAATAGAAAAGGTTGGAATAAAAACAAACAAACAAACTCAAAATCCACTACAATGGCACAGTTGGTCATGTGAGCCAAGGTACTCAAGATCCCTGATTATTGCTTGGCACTCCCTTTTATGAGTCCTAACAGGAGTGATGTGGTTGCTAAAGGATGTGATAGGGAGTGGATGTGTGTTTGGTTGATAGATGAAGTCTTAAAATCATTTTCATGCTGCACCTGTCCCTTCCCAATCATGTATAGGCACAAGGTTCCCTCAAAGACCATTTGAGGACCTCATTTAGACTGATTGTCCATGCACCCAAACCCACTTCAGGCTGGAGTGGCATTTCTAGTCGTTATACTGGATACATTTCAAATATAGTTGGACAGAAACTGTCTGTGTTTGATTGCGGTTAGGTAAGGAGAAACACACTGCATTGTTCAGAGGGAGGAGATGGGTAATTTGACATAGGTGGGAGTCTGAGGTTTCTAGGTGATTGTTCAGGGAGGGGTCTGTGTTCATAGGACATGCAGGTGAAGGAGCTAGTAGGTGAGGTGCATTATTAGAAGAGGGGTATTGCATAGCTCAAACCTAGCAGGGTCCCAGGTGACCAGACTCCTGTGCGTGCCTGCTTCAACACCATCCAGACTCCCAAGATGGCCAGTTGGCAGGGGCATGTTGGCTCAGACCTGTAATCCTATCACCCGAGGACTCAATCAGGAGGACTAGCATGAGTTCTGGGATAGCATGGCTACATACTTTGTTCCAGGATCGCCTGAGCTACTGAATGACATGCTATCTCAATAAACAAACAAGCAAATAAAATAAAATGGAGATGGCTAGCAGCTAAGAGCACTGGCTGATCTTTCAGAGGACCAGGGCTTGGTCCCAAGCACCCACAGTGGAGCTCACAACCCTCTAACTTCAGTTCCAGGGCATCTAATGTCATCTCCTGGCTTCCATGAGGCCTAGGCACACAAGTGGTGCACAGATATACGTGCAGGCAAAACACTCAGAAAACAAAGTGGATGGTATGATATTCAAAATGAAAAAAAAAGTGAACAAATCAAGGAAGACAACAGACAACAAAGAAACAAAGGATCGACTGCAAAGGTGTGTGGTTGGCTGACACCTCTAATGACCTCTCTTCTAGGACCGTTTATCCCCAGGCTCAAGGTGGGCCAGAACTGGGCTGCTCCTGCCCAATGTTCCACCCATTTCCTCCACTCGTGGGCAATCAGAGCTCTGCTGCAAAGACTGCTCTTGCGCCCACTCCTTACTTCTCCCTCCTCTCCCTTTGCAGGTGGCCGAACTGCCTTGGGGCCCGAAACTCTAGCCACCTCTTCCTGCTCTCCACTCCCTTTTCTCCTTCCTACCCACCCCCATAAACCTCTACACCTCTAATTCCGTCTTAGCTTCTCATCTGTGGGACCCAGCATGACCCAGGAAGTAAAACCGCCTATCTTAGCTTTCTGTATTTAGGTCCTGAGTCTTGATTTTGATCACACCTGAATGCTCTTCCTCTTTAGATGGGAGAATGCTTCATTTCTAAATGTACTATGTGGACTGCCACCAAAGGCCAGGTGGATTATAGATTGCGCAACCCCTCAAGCACCATTTATGTAGACTATCATGAGTAGGCTATACAGTCAACTAGGAAGGATGTGGATAAAGCGTGTGGGATAAGAGTTGTGAACTAAATAGCTGGATATTGTGGTACACACCTTTAGAACCAGTACTTAGGAGTTAGGACTAAATGGATTTCTGTGAGTTCGAGGCCAGCCTGCCTGATCTTCATAGCCAAGCTCCAGGCCTGCCAGGGCTATGTAGAGAGACCCTATCTCAAAATTAAATAAAAAGAGTTGTTGGCTGAGACTTAGAGACCTTGGGGCCAAGATGGCTGGATTTAAATTTTTATTTATTTATTTGTTTATTTATTTATTTTTGGTTTTTTGAGGCAGGGTTTTTCTGTATTGTTTTGGAGCCTATCCTGAACTCGCTCGGTAGACCATGCTGGTCTCGAACTCACAGAGATCTGCCTGCCATTGCCTCCTAAGTGTTGGGGTTAAAGATGTGCTCCACCAACGCCCGGTGGATTTAAATTTTTAATCTTTATTTTGCTACTCACTAGCCATATGTTCAAAATTATTTTACATCTTAATCTCAGTTTTCTCTTAAAAATAGGGAGAGTTAGAGATCTATCATGAAGGCATTTTTTTCAGACACTATCTTCTAGGACAAAATTAATATTCAGTAAGTATTAGCAACAGTAGTACCATTCTAAAGTTGCTAATAGCAACTGTCTGAAGCCATGAATGCCATCTACTAACAAAGTATTTAGTGGATCTCTATGTCAGGCACTGTATGGTGTGATGGATATATAACCTTACATAAGTTAGCAGGACAAGCATGTTAATAAAGGTTTATAAGATAAACAAGGTACTGACAAGAATTCTTGCTGTATATCATACAGTGTGTATAACTCCTCATGTCAAGTCCAACATAGATTAAATGCTCTGTAATTCTACCTCATGGGGCTAGAGAGCCAACTCTGTGATTAAGAGTGCTTTCTGCTTTTCCAGAGGACTCAAGTTCGGTTCCCAGCACTGAAAAGGGGCATCATATGTAACCCCAGCTCCAGGAGCTTTGATGCTTTCTAGTTTCTTCAAGCAACTGCACATGTGGAGTGTGTGTGCGCGCACGCACACACACAAATGAAAATAAGATCTCAAAAACTAAGTTGACTTCATGGGGATGGGTAGATAGCTGAGCAGTTAAGAGCACCTGCTTTCTCCCAGGATCCCAGTTCACTTCCCAGCACCCACAACCACCTGTAACTCCATCTCCAGAAGGTCAGTTGCTCTCTGTATCACCCACACACACATAGCCACACATTCACATAGATGCACATAAACAAAATTTAAAAACTAACTAAAAATCCTTCTTTGTTCCCACCAAATCCCTTATATGAATCCAAGCCTTTCTCTTATAATCAAGGGATCCACCAGTAATTCATGGACATCTTTCAAAATGCCAGAGTGTTCTGGTCTACCTCTTGAACTTCTGATTCCGTTTCTTCCATACATGCTTGTTTGTTAATGACAATCGTCTAAAACCACCTTAGGTAGAATAAAAAGGCCTTAAAATATACCCCAGGGGTAGAGCTTTTGCCTAGTGTGCACAAGGTAAGAAAAATAACATGAATGAACAAAACCGTGAACTTATTAACATTGGAAACTGAGACACTTGTCTTGGAAACAATTCTCCTTCTGATTTTCATTTTACCTGCATTCAGATAGGTATCTCATTGTTGAGAGGAAGAAGGCCTAGCCCCTTTAGAGGAATAGTTGCCATTCGTTTTCAGTTAACTGCCCTTGCGCGAAGAGGTAAGTTTGTCTCATCCAGAAGGCTAGCATTAGGGGTGATGATTTTGATCAGCTCAATTTGGAACATGTGTCCATCAAGGCTAACGCGCCTCCTTCTCACAGCTGAATTTAAGTAGTGGGCAGCCCTAGTGGAGCCATACTACTAGTGAACCACACGTTTCTCTGATGTAGACAAAAGCAGCCACTGACGTTGAAGTTCAGGCCTCTGCATTTTCAGAGCAAACAAAGCCTAAAGTAATTTTTTCCAGAGCCGGGCATGTCCTGGACTAGGATTGATTAGTCCTTCCTAGTTACCTGAATTCCTCAGACAGTCAGGGTAGCGAAGGTGGACGTGAAAAGAAAGACAGGAGGAATAACAGGAAAGAGCGTTCAAGAAAGAAGACACGAAAGGCTGTGGCCTCTGCTGGTTGCTGTCTAGGCAGCAGGTAAGTGGACTATCCAGACTATCCTCGCTCACTGTCTGTTCTGCTCATAGTTGGGCCCTTCCTGCCTGAAACTCCATCCCCTTTCCGTGCACTCAGCCGGCAAAGGGGCCTCCTCAGAGAACCTGGTGGGCGTGCTGCTGGGAGAAGGCAGGCCTCCCAGAGATGGGCAGGTCTGTGTCCCAGTACAGATGGGATGCAGTGCTCCCTGCCCGTGTGTCTCCTGGCTGCTGCTCCTTTCTTTCTGAAACAGGGTGGACAAGCTGCTACTAGTGTAGGCCTCTTGAAAAGGATGCCATTAGTGTGGCTGTGGGAACTTGTTCTACACAGCTGAGGCAGAGGCAGGGCTTGGGGTGGTTGTCAGGAACAGTGGGTTAGCTTGTCTCTTTTTAACATTTTTATGTGTATGGGTTTTTTTTGTCTGCATGTATATATGTGCACCATGTACATGCCTGGTGCCTGCAGAGGTAGAACAGGAGGGTGTTGGATCCCCTGGGATTAGAGTTACCACATGGGTGCTGGGAATTGAACCCAGGACCTCTGAGCACTGTGCCAACGCTCTAGCCCTGGCTAACTCATTTTCAAAGAAGGGGTTTCTAGGGCCAGTTGGTTGGTGGCACACACCTTTAATCCCAGCACTCAGGAGGCAAAGGCAGGTAGGTCTCTTAGTTAAAGGCCAGCCTGGTCTACAGAAGCAGTTCCAGGATGGCCAGAACTTCACAGAGAAGCCCTGTCTTGAAACCCCTGCCCACCCTCCCAAAAGGGAGGATTTCTGGAAAGACCAAGTATCCTGAGAAAACCCTCCGAGGCCTCACCATCTCCTGAACTCTCCTAGGTCCTCTCAAGAATGATGCTCAGTGCTGTGGAGCAGTGTCTGAGGGGAAGATGACTAACTGATGGATGGCTTGTCTTTAGTAAATGATTCATGTGACTAAAGACTTGGGGTAGGAACAATTGGCACTAGGTGTGTTTTCTTTCTGGGATACTCATGTAATACATGGTGGGACTAAGGAGTAGCTGTCGCCTGAAAAACTTAGGGTAAAAGCAGGAACCCTTGCTTGGTACTCTGCTGTGTTTCTACCCAGGGAACTGTGACAGAGAGGACAGATCGGCAAGGATGAGGTCCTGCGTGTAAAATGCATCCCCACAGGAGTGCTTGGTGTTAAGTAACACAGGGGGCAGTTAGAAATCTGGGCTCACATACCTAACGCAGTAGGGGAAGAGGGAGAGAAAAGGCACCCACAGGCAGAATAAATGGGTTTTAAGGAGAGCTATGGTAGAGAGACCACTTTGCTATACAGCTGTGATTGGTCTTAGTGTTGTCTTTAAAGTCATAAAACTCTAGACAGATGGGCTTTATGGTCAATTTATTTTTGGTCTCTGTCCTTGGGGCAGATGCCTTCCCAAAAAGGGAATTTATGGTAGTCTTTCTTAGAACTTTTCCGTCTTGAGGTCAGGTAAGGGGATTTCCAGAAGGCTTCCTTCTGTATTGGTGAATCTCAAATGACTTCAGCTTAATTTTCTAGCTAACTCTGGGGGTTCTGGTGTGCCCTCACATTGTCTAATATGGAAGGCAGGTATGGAAACAAACTGAAGGGAGGTAGGTGGGTCAGGGCTGTGTGAGGAGGACAGAAGTATCAGCTGTGGTATCTGCAAGAGCCTGTGTCACACCTGGTCTGCATTACAGAATTGTGGGATGTTAGCTAAATGCAACCCTTCAGGTCTTAGCACCCTCATTGTAAAATCGAGTCTCAGTCTCATTGGGTTATTGTGAGAAGTGGGTGGATTGACATGCATTAAACTTCTACCATAGGGGATGTAAAGATAGCCAGATGTCCCAAGTTAGGTTCCCAGCACCCAAATTAGGTCGCTCATAATTGTCTAGAATTTCAGTTACAGGGGATCTCATGCCCTATTTTGGCCTCTGTGGTTATTACTCACACACACATGTGCTTGTGCACACACACATATAAAAACCCTAAAATCTAAAAAAAAATCTACCATAGAACCTGGCATGGTTTAAGGTCTCATTAGATACAAGGACTATTGCTGCTAAATTGTTTATATCCAGATATCTCAGTTGATATGGGAGAGGGTGTTGGATGAAGTTCATTAACTCTTGCAATAAATATTTATCTGGGCACCTATCTCACTGGGGGAAAACCATACAGTGAAAACAAGACCTGCTTCCTGTTCTCATAGAGCTTACAGTCTGAGGGAGAATTTAGATGCTAAACAAATAATGCCACGACTAATTTGTCATTATAAGCTCTGGTGAATGCCAGGGAGGAAAGAACAGGATCCTGTGAGAGAATACAGTGTGGTACTTCATCTAGACTGGGTAGGTGTGCGGCCCAGGAAAGGCCTTTCTGGCAGAATGACATTTAAAGTAGGCGTGGAAGCATATTTTAAGGTGAGAGAATGGAAGAATTGTCCATGCAGAGAGAGCAGTCTGTGTCAAGGCCTCCTGTGGGATGGAGCTTAGTTTCTCCTGGAACCTGAGAGGAGGTCCTGTGGGTCTGGAAGGAGAGAGGAGGAAGGGCAGAGACGAGCTTGCTGGTCTCTGCTCAACTCATCTTCTGCTCTGCTTCATGCCCATCTTACTCGTGTGGACTTCATGGCCCACAGGGTCATGACTTTGAACTCCCAGAAGATTCTGCCATTTTGGGGAGAGGGAGAGCAAAAGATGGGGAGGGGAGTGGGTGGTTTGTCATCATGACTGTTCGGGGGACACTCCTTCACAGTTCTAGCTCTCCCTAAGGCTCCTTCCCTTGCGCCTTCAGGTTTTGGCTGGCAATGTCTTTAATGGTAACCATGCCTGCATTTCTAAATGTTGGCTTGTCTCACCTTGTTCACCTTACTGGGAATTGGCCCTTGTTAGGGCTTTAGCCATACTTCCAAATTGTGCTGTTACCCTGATTGACTGAAGGAATTGCAACATGGAGTGTTTTTAAACAGATTTCTTTTGTTTGTTAAATTGTGAGTATGTGCACCTTAATGCAGTGTCCACAGAGGCCAGATGAGCTGGAGTTCTGTAGAGCTGTAACTGTCTGACATGGGTACTAGGGACTGAACTTTGGAAGGGCAGTAAGGCTCTTAACTGCTAACCTGTATTTCCAGTTCTGGAGACTTTTTAAAAAGGGCATTTTAATTTATTTTTGTACATGCATGATGTGCATGTGTATGTGGATATATACGTGCCATAGTACACATGTAAGAAGTCAGAGGATAACTCTGTGGAGTGAGTTTTTTCCTTTAACCTTTACATGGTCCAGGGGTTGAACTCAGGTTGTCAGACTTGAGTGGCAAGCACACACTTTACTTATGGAACCATGTTGCTTGTATCACAACATGGAGGGTTTTGCATGCCAAATTAAGGACTTGTTATTTTTTATAATTCTGTGGTGCTGGGATTTGAACCTAGGATTTCAGGCATGATAAGCAAGTGCACTAGCACTGAGCCATGCCTTGAGTCTCAATATAGGCTTTATCAAGTGTTATCTTTAGCACAAGGATAAGCTATAAATAATTTCTTGTTACTTAACTCTAGTACTCACTAGCTTTTTTTCTCTTCTCTGAGGCTCCTCCTCCTCCTCCTCCTCCTCCTCTTCTTCTTCTTCTTCTTCTTCTTCTTCTTCTTCTTCTGCTTCCTCTTCCTCCTCCTCTTCTTCCTCCTTCTCCTTCTTTTCCTCCTCCATCAATGTAGTCCCAGCTGGTCCTAAGACCCAAATACTCCTGCCTTAGACTATTGAGTGATAGAGTTATGAGTATGTTGCCAAAGATGATTTTGAACTTGTGATCCCCCTACCTCTACCTCCCAAGTGCTGGGATTATAGGTGTGTATAAACCTGCCCTGTTGTGCAGTGCTGGAGTTCAAACCCAGGACTCCATGCACACTAGTCAAGCACTCTACTAACTGAGCTATACCCTAGCCTCCTCTGTTTCTTTTAACATCTCCATCATTACTTCTTGAACCATTATGGACCCTATGTTTCTTTACAGAAGGCCTCCCTCCACCTATTTCAGACTCCTTGGAAAACTTGTGCCTTTCATGCTACTAGACGAGAGTAGGGAGAGGCATCTGACTTTTCCTTTCTGATGCAGATATTAACCACAGTAATCTCTCCAAATTTCTGAAGTATTTGCAAGCACTTCTCAGTCTGGACATTCATAACCTTCCTTGGATTGTAAATTAGATCATGTTGCTACCAGTACAAAAAAATCTTATTTCCCATGACACTCAGAGTCCAAGCTTAACACCTCAGGTGTTCCTCCTTAGATCCCAGATCTGGAAGGACAGATGCTCCTGTGGTTTTGCTCTGGGTTAGGACTCAAGGCCAGTTCTCAGGACAAGCTCAACAGATTGAGAGTGTGGGTCCCCTGCTCAACAGATACCACTTAAGTGTGTCATCTGCATCCTTTTTTCTCGGTTGTCTGTGATGTCCATTTTCTTTTACACCCACTTACTAATTTTCAGGCATATTTATCTTCTTGAGACCATATCAGTACTTATTGAGTATGTATCTTCATGGTACCAGCTGGGTTTTTGTAGCACTTTAGATGGGGAAACTGCCAAAGTTTGGTTCATACTCCGTGTACACACCTTCCCAGAGGTGAGGCTGCTGCTTAATGTGTTGACTTCATCGGTTCCAGAACTTACTCCTTTATTCTTTTTAATGCTAAGTATGCATTCCAGCGACACCCCGTGATCATAGAATATAAGCCTCCTGTGTATGGTCTAGCTCACCTAGCTCTCTGTGTGGTGAGGCTGCCTTTCCAGTGAGCTGGCCTTGTTTCTAACCATGACTTGAGTCTCTTAATGAAACTTACTTTCCTTCAGGCAGGCTTACCATTAGGAATGTCCCCTTCCTATGATCCACCCCAGAGTCTGTTGGCCCTGGATCTGGCCAGAAAAGTGAAGATCTAAGAGGTTCAAATGCCTACTGGGAGAAAACCAAATGGAGAAAAAGAGTATTTTATTACACATTATAATAATCAACATCTTTAATATATATTCCTTCCCTCAAAATTTTTTTTTGAGAACAGGATGTATGTAGTCCCAGGTGGTCTGGAACTCCCTATGTAGCAGAGGACCTTGAATTTTTAATATTCTTCTCTCTTATCACCCAAGTGCTATGATTCAGGCAGGTACTGGAACAGTTTCTGCATTGTTGTCGATGGAACCCGGGACTTTCTGTGTGCTTGGTGAGTTCTCAGCAAACTGAACTATGACCCCAACCCTCATTTTCTCTCAATTAAATAGAGTATGCTCATGTGTCCTCTTTTAACCTAGAAATTCAACTATTAGGTATTTAGCTAGAATGAAAAGCTATGTAAAATTATTATGGAAAAAGATTCTTAGCAGCTTTATTCACAATAGCAGAAATCCAAAACCAACCCAAAATATGCAGTGTCAGGGTTTGGTTGAACAGACTGGCTTGCATCAAATTGAGTGAAATCTGACTCGGCAAGAGAAATGAGTGAATTATTAAGGTAGGTACAACCTGGGCTACTGAGCAAAAGCAACTGGGCACAGAAACTTATAATGCTGTTCGTTTGAAATGCTAGAACAGGAAAGGCTGAGGTGAAAAAAAAGTTAGCACTGTGGTTTCCTGAGGTGAGGTATAAAGAATTGTGGGAAAGGAGAATTAAAAGTGAAAGGGTCAATGTAGCCACTTTAAAAATGAGAGTGCTCACTGGATTTTCCCACCCTTATCCTTGTCCACAGGTATAAGCAAACATATCTGCACATAAGTCGGTTTTCAGATCATGCCACGCAGGGTGCTTACTTTAAAAAATAATAATACAGGGCTGGAGAGATGGCTTAGCAGGTAAAGGTGTCATTTGCCAAGTCTAAGTTTCATCTCTAAGACCCATGATGGAAGGATAGAACTGAATCTCACAAGCCTTTAGCCCAGGCTAGCTGCAATTCCCAAGGATGGCTTTGAATATCTCATCCTCCTTCCTAGTGTTGTGATTGCTAGGATTATAGACAGGTATGGGCCACCATGCTTGATTGCTGTAGTATTAGGAATCAAAACCCAGACTATATGCATACTAGGCAAACACTCTACCAACTAAGCTGTGTCAAAGCCCCAGTTACTTACGTTCTTGATGACATGTCTAAGATTCTGTTGTCTTATCTAAGGCCTACGTTTTCTTCCAAGAGTTTCATAGATTTAGTTCTTACATTCAGATGGTTCATATCAATGACTTCTCTATCATTATTTCTTCTCCTCCTCCTCCCCCTTCCTCCTCCCCTTTCTCCTCCTCCTCCTTTCTCCTCCTTTCTCTTTCTCCCCCTTCTCCTCCTCCCCGTTCTCCTTCCTCCTCTCCCTCCCCCTTCCCCTTTCTTGTCCCCCTTCCTCCTCCTCCCCCTTCCTCATCTTCCTTCTTGACAAGATCTTGCTAAGTTGGTTGGTGTCAAGCTTGCATGTGCTATTCCTCCTGGATTTCTGTAGAACAGGGGTCCCAACTCGATTCTTTTGCTTGAAGATATCCACTTGTCCCCAGCACCATTTACCGAGTATGTTATTCTTTCCTCTAATGAATTGCTTTGTGCCTTGCTGAAAATGAGTCAGTCACACTCTGAAATTATTCCCCATGTCAGTAACAACATGAATGACGGCTGACTTGTAGCTTATCTCAACACCCTTTGCCCTTTCTACTCCGAGGCTGTTTGTTTCAGGGATTGTTCTGGGATTTGTAATCTTGAGTAACACTTTACGAAGCACACTGAAGCATTTGAAGGGCACACTCGTATAAAGCGTGTGGGTAAATAACTGCGAATTTTCTTCATCTATTGGGTGGGTAAAAGTTCTTACACATGGAGTGTTTATGGTGACAGAATAGGGTTTAAAAGATGCCTTTGAATCCTACCTGTGAGGGGGCAATTGTAAATATTTTACAACATAAAGAAAGCAAACTCAATGCTTTGGCAAGCTTTGGACAAAGATGCCAGAAAACAAGCTTTGCTCTTCCATTAACTGGCTGAATGACCTTGCCCAGTCATTTGACTCTCAGCAGCTCAATTTCCGGGTCTACTGAATGCAGGCAATGGCACCACTTGAATCACTGTTCTGAATTAGATTGAAACTGGTGTGTGTGTGTGTGTGTGTGTGTGTAAGTGTGCATCAGAAAATTTGTTATTATGGGCACTGTGAATAATTTATAGGTTACTTTCATTCAAAAAATTATCTTTGACTTGTTTATAGTAAGTGATTTACCCTTCTGGGGGAACAACCGCAAGCAATGTTTACCCCAATAAAACATTAACATGAGGTTTCTTACCACTTAGCTGGGCAAAGGCCAAGGCCTGGTACTTGGCTCAAAGAAAATAGTTATACATTGTTTAATAACAACCAGGCCCTTAGGCAACTCTCAATAAAAACTTTTGGTGTCTGGATTAGAATGTGACTAAGGAGTACCTCCCCACAACCTTTCATTAATTGCTTAGACTGTGGAGGGAATATGCTTTTTAAAAAGGAGAGGTCCTGGGACTGGCTGTGTGGCTTAATTGATAAAGTACTTATCTGGCATGCGTGAAGCCCTGGGCTTGATGTCCAGTACCACATAAACTCAGCATGGTGGTACATGGCTATAGTCCTAGCACTTTGGAGGTGGATACAGTGTCATTCTTGGCTACATGGTGAGGAATTTGAGGTGAGCCCAAATTCATGAGACCCTATCTCAAAACAAAAATCATAATAACTTTCATTTATAAGCCTTCATCAGCTCCAATTGCCTCCTCATGGGAGGAGAATGGTGTGCCGGAGGAACTTGATTTGTAGGGAAGAAACAGCTAAATAATAGTAATAGGCCAAAGTACTAGCTGCCTCACTGATATATATATATATATATATATATATATATATATATATATATATATCATGCAGCTTTTCTAGATGTTTCTCCCCATCTAAACAGGCCGCTGTAGATTCACTGGACCCTGACAATGTTACTCTCTGGAAGATACAAATATGACCTAATGGTTACAGACAGACCAGGATGGGGGAAAAAAATAAAACCACTGAAGTGTCACAGTGGCACCCAAGAAGCAAGGCAGCTGGAATAGTAATTTCTCTGTCAAGTCTGGGTGCTATTTTAGATTGAGTAACTCAAGCTTTGAGAAGTTTTTCCTCATCCATCAAGAAGACATTTTACTTGGTACAACAAGAGAGATGGCCATTTGCAAGAATAGTAACTGTACAGAGGATGGAATTTTCCAGAAAGCGGTAAAGAGGGCAGAACTCCAGGAGAATGGGGGCAGAGTAAAGGACCTGGAGATTTCCAATGGGACCTTCCCTTGTGAAGGTTTTCTTCTCAGGTGCCTTCCATTTTAACCACAAAGTTACATTTTGTATATAATTTTACATGACTTATCTCGGATTCTCAAACTGCCTTTAGCTTCCCTCTTCAGTAAAGTGTGAGCATAGCCTGATATGGTGGCATGTGCCTATAACCTCAGCATTTGGGAAGTGGAGGCAGAGAATTAGCACAAGTTTAGGGCTAGCTTGTTCTGTATATGAAGAGCCAAGCCAACCAGGGCTACAGATTGAGCCCTTCCTTGATTCTTGAAAACAACAAAAATGTGCACTGTGCTCACAGCTACTTATAGTCTGTGCCTCAGTTTTCTTACCCATGAAATGAAGATAATTCCACATCCTAGGATTGTGGTGAGGGTTAAGTATATGGGCACAAGTCGAGTGTGCTAATGAGTGTGTCAAGTGAGGGCATAGTGAGGGACCTCCAGATCAAAGTGCTTTCGTGTATGTTAATAATTATAGCTTTTAGAACCACACCACCCCTTCCTTCCTCCTGTGAGATCTCTTCCTTCCAGGCCTTTCAGATACCTGGAAAACCTAGTGCTACTAGTTGTCTTTTTGAAGGTAATGGAATAGTAACAGTAAAGATTTCAAGTAGAAGTTAGCTCAGTTGTAGACAGCTTGCCTAGATCGGGTTGAGATTCTGAATTCTATCCCTAGTCCTGGAAAGCTGAAACAGTTTTAAATAAATAATAACCAAATCCCAAACCCAGTACAAAGCTCTAGCATTTTGGTCAGGTTGGGGTGACTCACACCTGTAATCTCAGCATTCAGCAGGCTGAGGTTAGGAATGTCATAATGAGTTTTGAGGCCAGCCAAGACTTTCCGGCTGGCTGAGACTGCTGGACTATATAGAGTTGAGACTGCACCTCAAAAGGAAGGGGTGGGAGTGGTATACTTCAAACATGCATATGTAAGCAGTTAATGCTTGGGAACCAAAAACAAGCCCTGAAACAGTGTCATTTGCTGTGCTCATCATATACAAACAGTACTCTCACTATAGGCACAGGATCAGAGATTGGAAATGGCAGTATCTTCCAGATCTGGTGTGTCTGCCTGTCTTCTGTCTTTTCATGTAACTGCATGCAGGGAGCCTCAGAGACAAATTTTGCCTTTATTTCATGGAGAAGAGATCCGACCAAAGGTCTTCATTCTATTGAATTTTTGGACCCTGGGCAGTTTCTTGAAGAAAGGAAGGGAAGGGCTTCCTCTTGCCAGATCTCTTTCCTCACTTCCTCCTTCCAGGTCCTCAGAGTGATCTGTTACCAGAGAAAAAGCAGCTCAAAGAAGTAAGGTCAAGATGTTTCTGGAAGGGACAAACTCTTCCCCTACTGATGAGGGAGGTGAAAAATCTAGATGGAGAAGTTACATTCCAGTGACTGGGTTAATGAACACCTGGAGAGTGTCACAAGGGTCGGAGGGTGTCAGCCTCATGGACTGGCATTTTTATGTGTTTTGATGGAGTCATGACATGGAGTCCACTTCCTTGTGTTATTAAAGAGTAGTGAAAAGTAAAACAGAACTAGAACATGCTCTACAGACAAAAAGGACCTGTGTTATTTTGAGACACTGTGTGTGTTTGAGTCCTGCTCGAGGAGTTTCCCTTTGCTGCAGAAGAGAGCCTGGAACCTCAGAGCAGGGGACAACAGCATGGGCTGGGGAGGTGGCCTGCCACTGTACGCATGAAGAACCAAGTTACAATCCCCAGAACCCTTGTAAAGCAAAGTGTGGTGATGCACATCTATGCTCCCAGGGCTCCTGGGTGAGATGGTTTGTGAGGACAAGAGATTTTTCCCAAGAAGCTTGTAGACTACCTTGTGTGACATACGCAACTAGAGACTCTTAAATAAGGGTGAGGCTGGGCACCTAAAGTTGTCTTTGGACTTCTACATGAATATGCTCACCCCCCCACACACTCATGCACTCACAGACAATCATCCATTTCCCCCTCCAGTTCTGTTTAGTTTCCTCCTGCTATCATAGCACATCACGGGGATGAAGGGAGGAGGGTATTCACAGCTGTAAGACTGAACTTTCCAAACAAATGTGTCCACAAGTACTCTGTTGGAGGAGGACCTTGTTAAGTGCTTTCTGTTTTAAAACCAAACAGTGCTGAAGCACATTGTGGTGGCACACCCACGTAATCCTAGCACTTAAGAGGTAGACACAGGATGATCAAGAGTTTCAGGTCACCCTTGGCCACATGAGTTAGAGGACAGTCAGGGCTACACGAGCCGTCTCTTTCCCCCCTCCTCCCCTCGTCTCCCCTTTCTCTTCACCCTCTGTCCATCTTTGTGTGAGGTTGAGGTTCTTAGAGCACCTCTTTACCACTGAGCTATATCCGTAGCCTTGGAGAGCATTCCCTCCTGACTCCTATCTACGTTCCTCCCTCACGGCAGGCAGGGCGGGGTGAGGGAAAGGACACGTATGGTCCCAGGTTGGTCTGCCCCAGGTCCTTTCCTGCTTGGTGGTTTAGGCATCTTAAGGATTGGTTCCTTTGCTGTAGATGTGATTGACCTCTCTCCTCCCTGCTTTTGGACTGTCTAAAGATGGACAGCTATGAATATTTGACTGCTAGGTCTCAACCCAGGGGCAAATGGCTAACTGAGGTGCATATTAACATATCAAAGTGGACTTTGGCCACCAGGTTCTTCCAGCATCCCTCAGTCACTACCTGTTACTGGGTCCTCCTTCCTGGCTAGCATAACCAGCCCCCTCTCCTGAACTCTCCAACTGGAAGCTGGGCTGCTCTTCCTCCCAGCTGTTCTTCCCTATATAATCCAGACATTTTGACTCTACTGGTCCTTTTTATCCTCTTTGCCCAATTTTACCTCCCTTTACCCCCTCTGCCCCCCTTCTGCCCCTTTTTGCCCTTTTTGGCCTC